TTTGGCATTTTTAACTCATTACTAACTAAAAAAAGACGTTGGTCATGGCTATTTTCATCATTCATTTAAATTTGGAATAAGACTGAAAAGGATAATTGTGTTTTATTAACGTATGGAATGAGGCAAATAATACCTAAGCGATAGCCTTTATGAAACATTTATCATAAACATACAGTATATTGTTAGATAACTAATACATTTAAATAGTTATTTGTGCAACTAGTGAGCAAAGTGAGCAATTGACTCACTCGAGAGAAATACTTACTCACGAGCCGTAGGCGAGTGAGGAATGGTTTCTCGAGTGAGGCAATTGCACTTTGCACTCGAGTTGCACATTATATTTTTTCCTACAGTTACCATAAAACAAATAAATTGGTAAAGAAACGTAACATATTTATACACAGAAGAGAACTTTTAATATGACATTTAATGATACAACGGTACAACAGCTGACCAGCTGATTTACAGCCAGTGATGCCAACTTATTTCGCGCCCATACGACCTTGTCTGAATGTTAGGCGCTCACTATTTCGTGCCCTCACGTTGCAAATCTGGAGTGAGACAAAGTAATTAGATTTCGCTCACTGGTCAGCGAATTGGCCACTTTGCTGTCTCAAATCAGCGAGAGAACATGCACATTGTTAGGTAACTGTAGGAAAATAATATAATTTCTGTCATCATGGAATTAGTAAGATAATTATATTTTTAAAGACATATTTATAAAGTAACTTAGTGCTTCGCAACGAGAAGATGTACTATACCACCTAATCCAAACACTTAATAAGTAGTTCAAATTTAAAAACAAAAGGCCACCAAATTTATACAAAAAAGTATAACCTACATGTAATTGTTCTACTGTTTACATGAAAATATATCAAAAACATTATTTTCATAATTCGGATACTTAAAATCAAAAGCAGAGCCAAGGTTGATATAGCAACGGTTATCAAGTTTTTTTCCATAATCAATGGCGTTGTTTAAGTTACATAGTACATAGTTTCTACCACATACTTACTTACTCTTACTCACTTCCTTGGCCATTTGTACCCCAAGTGGTACTTGAACTCACCAACACACTGCCTCCACGTCGTCCTGTCTCTTGTGGTACCTTTATTCACTTCCATCCTGGCCATATCTTTCTTTACTTCATCCGTCCAGCGTTTTTTCGGCCTCCCTCGTGGTCTTCTCCCCAGTGGGTCACTTTTCCATATTTTATATAATGTGCTTGTTTCCTCTCTTCTAATGATGTGGCCCGTCTAGCAAAGCCACCTGCATTTTGCCTCTGCAATTATATCAGGCTCCTTGAACAGGTGTCTTAAATCCTCATTATGTTTAATTCTCCATACGTCTTCTTCTTTAGTAGGGTTTTCTACCACATAGTTGTGTAAAATATTATATTTAATTTGTTTAAATCAGTGGTCTGAAATTGTGAAATAAACATTTTGCAGTTCTGCTTGTTTATATTGAAAAATATCAAAGCAAAGGTAAACATTCTGAATCTTCTCATGCTTCCACGGATACCAATTATTAATATTTACTTTTGAAAACCTAACATCAAAACTTTGGACGTCCAAGGGGCGTAGCCTGAGAGGAACTCTGGGAAGTGAATAGGCCTATGACATTCCTAGATATGTAAATAATATTTGTGCTTAATTTTGGCTGTCGTGGTAACTGCACAGACAGACACACACCACCTCAATTGTATAATAGTATGGATACAATAAAAAATATAGAAATGCATACCTTTTAAAATTGTATAAATTTAAGATAAAATGTTGTCTAATTGGGTGTCTTAACTTGTTTTAGTTTAAAGTTGTAATCCTTACCTTGACTAAAATGTAAAGTTTAATTTTACACAGAATAGTTTGAGGGGTTTTTAAAATTATTAAAGATATGTGAATTGATTTTAAACTTGTATTAAACTGAAGCTAGTATTAAATAAATTTATTTTTTATAAAGTCAAAGTAAAGTTAACTTAAGTCAAAACGTGAATCCGTGTAGGATAAATCGTAGTGACTGAAATAACCCTGATAAAACATTACGTAATATGTCTTAAAATAGAATGATTATTGATTATATTTACAATATTTAAGTTAATTTATGTTTGATCAGGGGGGTTTGTTAAAAACACCAATTCTCTGTTGTAAACGAGTAAAAAATTATACTGTTCAAACCATTAAATAATTATCTGATTCCATCTGGATATATATATTACAATACTACTATAGGAACTACATTCCATCATACTAACATTACAATTATGTTAAACCATTTATATCTGAATCTTTGAAACGTGACATGATGAAACGTAATTATGTTTTCTTCACAATAGCAAGTTAACTAGGAGTTCGAGCTCAGTGCTTATTTCTATCAGTTGATTGAGTCCCGCGCTGGACTGGTTCCATTACTTCTGCTACGTTAACCCCAGTTTTTACCGTCTACCAAGTTTTCCGCTGAAGGGTAAAATGTATTTAAACTCGACTTCTCAATACCTACCAGGCGATGGTAATTAATATTTGGTGGTATATATGGTGAATTAATATTTGTAACTAATTTGTGTTAAAATACGCAATTACTGCATGTATATTAGTCATATAAAATATAATGTATGTAGAATTATAGCACAAAAATTAAATTAACCATTTAGTGACTGTATGTTATCATTTCAAACATTATATTACTGGCATATAATCGATAACCTTTTTTAAACATATTTCATAACGTTTTTTGGTTATTTTTTCTTTATATAAGAAGTTTTTCTGTGGACATACACTGTAGTAATCAGTTACTTTTGTCCTCGCCATATCAATGGGAAGTGTGATTTTGATTTGTGAAAAAAAAATAGACGACGGATCAATTACTTTCCTGGTTGGTACATTTTATACAATTGAGAACACACATTTTCATAAAAGTATTATGGATGAGTCGTATCGTTATATTCTGTTGAGTTAGTATTATTGTATTCTATTGATGTATAGTATGATTCAGTTCCTCTTCAGTATTTTTCCAAGATTGTTTGTAAACGTATCACAAACATCTATCCTACGAGTCAGTTTTAATTAACATTCTGGTCAGATATTATTGATTAACTTGGCTAACCCACTGTCTGGCAAGTCAGCTCTCAGCTAACACATCGGCATTTCTACTATCTAGTAGTCTAGTGAGTTAGTTCTAGATTTAAATTAGTTATCAACTATCTGTGAAATTAGTTAAAGGTTAACATGACTAATATTTATTGTAATAGCCCCGGAACTGTAATGATGACTACTATAGTGGTTTTATATTACCTGTCGTCAGTTCCAAATTGTAACTTTCGTAGATGCTACATGTTTCGGCGAGCTGCCATTGTTAACTGTATGCTTGACAATGACATCTTGCCGAAACATGTAGCATCTACGAAAGTTACAATTTGGAACTGACGACAGATAATATTAAACCAATAATTAGTTAATATGACCAATGGTCAGGTGATTTAGTTCTGGTTAACTAGATCTATGCCTATCGTGAGCCAAGTCGTCCTGGCCTATCACTGCTGGGACTTCTTAGCTTGATATAATGACCTGCCTTTTATGATTACATAAATATCATAAGTCAAAAATATCAATTCTAGTATGTCTGGCTAAACTGTATTTACTAATTTACTTAGCCTATTTCATAACAGCAAAGGAGAATATTGAAGATATTTTGAGTCTGGTGTTCTTATGTGTCATGTATTAGTATGGGGAGTACTAAATAAAACATATTTTCAATATTGTACAAACATATAATATCCAAACAAAGGGTATTGTCAATATATTACAATGTAGAAATATGGCATAATAATTGGGAATTTACACTTATATTAACATCATGAGTCTTGTAACCCTACATAAATAACAGTTGCAGAATATATAATATAATTACATTTTCTATCATACAAAACCGGTAATTCGAGTTTATAACATTTGCTAACATATAAAGACAAACGTGATCTTCACTTTCAAAGAAATACGTTATTATCAAACCTATATTGTTGCAGAGACAAAATGTTCACTACAACTAAACAAATCTGTATCACAGACAACAATCTTTTATAAATTTCCTTCCGTAAAGTTTTTTTTCTTATGATACCGTTTTGAAAATAAAGTTTTTCTATGATATTTAATAATATACTTTTGTTTTAAATATATAATTATTACTTAAAGCTAAATTTAGCTTTGTTTCATTAAACACATAGTATCTAAAATCAGTTTATGCTGAAGATTAATTTCTTTGCAATGTATTAGATTTCATACGACATGAGCCTGGCCATTTTTAAATCAGCTTCAGACTTAATTTAAACAATCGTTTCTTTTAATGAATCAAGTATCAAAATTATTATTACAAGGAAAAACAGTGTATGCTAAATCTTATGATATATTATTTCTTATACAATGTTCGAATTACAGTAAGCCTTATGGTCTATTTAACTTTGTACAATTAAAAGCTACTAATACAAAAAGTATTTACAGTTATTTACAGTCATATTTTACAGAGATTATAAGTACAAAATGAACAAAAACTGGCCGAAAGGTCGTCACGGCAGCACTCAGAGCAGCTCCGTCGTAGTCCAGGGCCGCTCCGGGGGCTGTCAGAAGCGAGTGGCGCTCACAGTCGGGGGAGGCCCACGGATGTCACGGTTTTGACGCTCCAACGTGCTCACCTAGACATGATATCACTGTTACTACTCTAGTGGCAGCCACTCAAAGCAGCTCCGTCGTAGTCCAGGGCCGCTCCGGGGGCTGTCAGAAGCGAGTGGCGCTCACAGTCGGGGGAGGCCCACGGATGTCACGGTTTTGACGCTCCAACGTGCTCACCTAGACATGATATCATTGTTACTACTCTAGTGGCAGCTATTCAGAGCAGCTCCGTCGTAGTCCAGGGCCGCTCCGGGGGCTGTCAGAAGCGAGTGGCGGTCACAGTCGGGGGAGGCCCACGGATGTCACGGTTTTGACGCTCCAACGTGCTCACCTAGACATGATATCACTGTTACTACTCTAGTGGCAGCTATTCAGAGCAGCTCCGTCGTAGTCCAGGGCCGCTCCGGGGGCTGTCAGAAGCGAGTGGCGCTCACAGTCGGGGGAGGTCCACGGATGTCACGGTTTTGACGCTCCAAAGTGCTCACCTAGACATTATATCACTGTTACTACTCTAGTGGCAGCTATTCAGAGCAGCTCCGTCGTAGTCCAGGGCCGCTCCGGGGGCTGTCAGAAGCGAGTGGCGCTCACAGTCGGGGGAGGTCCACGGATGTCACGGTTTTGACGCTCCAAAGTGCTCACCTAGACATGATATCACTGTTACTACTCTAGTGGCAGCTATTCAGAGCAGCTCCGTCGTAGTCCAGGGCCGCTCCGGGGGCTGTCAGAAGCGAGTGGCGCTCACAGTCGGGGGAGGTCCACGGATGTCACGGTTTTGACGCTCCAACGTGCTCACCTAGACATGATATCACTGTTACTACTCTAGTGGCAGCTATTCAGAGCAGCTCCATCGTAGTCCAGGGCCGCTCCGGGGGCTGTCAGAAGCGAGTGGCGCTCACAGTCGGGGGAGGTCCACGGATGTCACGGTTTTGACGCTCCAACGTGCTCACCTAGACATGATATCACTGTTACTACTCTAGTGGCAGCTATTCAGAGCAGCTCCGTCGTAGTCCAGGGCCGCTCCGGGGGCTGTCAGAAGCGAGTGGCGCTCACAGTCGGGGGAGGTCCACGGATGTCACGGTTTTGACGCTCCAACGTGCTCACCTAGACATTATATTATATACAAGTCTAGTCTTAGCCTCTTAGAGCCACTTTTAAATATAATAAGTCTAAGGTAGTAGTCTAGAGCTAAGGATGTACATGCAATTGAAACAATTACTTTACAACTCTACAACTCCTCACAAACATTTGAAACAATCTTCAAATATATTACTAAATGTAATAAAAAATATGTACTCCAATAGGTTTTTGCTAATAACACACATCTACCTACCAAGCCTCAATCGCATTCTTTGTTACTCTACAAAACAATGCTAATATCATTAATCTCGAATAGCAGAATTTAGCACATCTTTATGCTAATTTGCAACAAATTACGAGTATATTGTACTAACCGTGTAAACTAATTTACTAAAATCATTGTATAAAGTATTTTTTCAGTTAAAAATATTAATAGTGTATTGTACTGTAAAAATGTATAATATAGTACTATGTTTTGTGTGTGTATTATAGTGTTTTTAGACAGTAACATGTTTTCTTTTAACATGAATTTAAAAAATATATACCATGCTCAATTTTAATTAAAATCAAGTTGATTTCTATTATATCTCACAAAAAAGGATTAATTTGTATTTTGGATTAGATAATCAAGTTACGATACTTGAACTGGTATTAGTTTTGTTGTTAGATTTCCTGTATTGTAATTAACTATTATACAAATATTTGTTGTCACGTAAAACTAGTTCCTAATATTATTTATGGCAAAGTAGTTTGCTGCTTAAGTAACTTGAAAATATGTTCTGCGTTCAAATAAAATTACCGGCAAACTCACCTACTAAACAAATATTTTTACTCATAACTGAATAATGAACATTAAAGCATCAAAATGCAACAGAACATGGTTGTCTCAGACCATAGCATACATACACTATTTCGTCACAGTCAAAACTAAATCGAATAAAAAACTAAAGATTCTAAAAGTAAATGATCAGGACGAGGTGTGGGGCTGGGTTGGGTTTCAAGCCAAAGCACAAGTAGTTGTACTAACCATGCAACACATATACAAGCTATACCGTGCTCTCTCTCGCGTGGCTGATGAGAGGCGTCTCGGCGGTCACGTGACAGAGCGACGCGTCTATCTGCGCGTAAACTGTCTGCTCATCTGCGCCTGCGCCGTGTATAGGGGGCCGAGATGACGTCACCATGGGGCCGTACAGGCCACCTGCGCCCCCTAGCTGTAGCTCTGCGTACGTCACCTCCTCTTTCTATATAGAACATGTCCATTATTCACTATAGTTATTATAATTTTTCTAAGACCTTAATATTTTTTGGTGTTATTGTGATTCCAGCATTTTTCAAATATGCAAAAAAGAGTTGATAAAATATTCAAATTAAATCAATTGTCTTACAAAATAGTCGTCCAACCAACATACTATAACAATATTCCTAAGATTTCAAATGTTCCCTATCCGAAAATTCATATTTTAGTCCTTTAGCACTGACCTCATTTCTTTAAGTCTCTGCCAACCGCAAATACAACACTAAATACTTACCCTACTTGTTATTTTATATTTGTATAGTTTATTGACCTATAACTAAGTACTATTACATAAAAAAATAATTTTTAAGACTAAGAATAGTTAAAATTATACTGTGTAGGCTGCTAATATTATTTATTAGTTACTTACCCCTGTTTTTCTCCTCCCCTCAATAGTTATCAGATTTGAAGGATAGAGCCTTGAATTCAATTTTTCAAACGCCCGTTCGTCTTCGTGATAATCTGAAAAGCAAATAGGCTAAGTAAACATGAACTTGTTACACGTACACCAGTGGTATTTTCTTAAATTTGCATTATTGATATTAATATTTCAAAATTTGTTCGCTAAATATACTTAAAGCGGCTCAAGGAGCTACAATAAATATGTCGCTATGGAAAAAAATCACATTCCATCAAAAACGTGAATAAAGTTATATGACATATTTTATTAAATTATTTTGAATCGTTTTAAAACTTTGTCATTATTAATCGGCTGAAAATGTATACCTAACGTATATCTGTAGAATGCCACAACCTTACTTCAAAGCAATTAGTAAGCCAATAATTAATAAATAAATGATTAATGTTGATAATAAAATAGGTTGATGTCAGTCAAATCCATTTCTAGATCGTCAGTACCGTATCTAGTTTTACTTCATAAGCCAACAATAAGGTTACGGTCAGTTAAAAATAATTATTAGAATTTTCATTCAAGTACACTATTCCCTAACAACATGAGCACCTGTGTTTTGAGGGATAATATCAGGGTTCTTTTCGAGACTGTCCATGCTCTCGTTGGACCGTTTGAGGTCAGGAGCCATGATTGTCTTGTTGTGTTTCTCATCGCAGTCCTTGCCTCTTAGTCTCAGCACTAGCACGATGCCACAAGCGATCACTATGAGGGTGACCACAATACCTCCTAGAACACCTAGGAGAGGCGTCAGCTCTATGGCTTCCGGGATCGCTGCTGAAACATGCGCAACACTTCGTCAAAACATTCAAGTATATTTAAAACTTATGTATTAAAAGCGATATCGACTCTTCGCCCCTTCTCAGTAACATATTATACACAATACGTTTTGTGTCAAGTGTGTGTACGTTATGTGTGCCACTAAACAAACATGTGATATAGTCTTGCAAATTACATAATAACGCTATTAGGTCAGCCTCTTTGGTGGCAAATTTAAAGTCTTACCCGTTCCTCCATCCACTTTTAAAACACTGAAACTCATTTGGAGCTTTTTATACATTAAAGTGTTATGTGGATGTAAATTCAGCATATGTGTTTTGTAGTTGAAAGGATAAGTTTTCATGAAACACTCATTAATTGTTACTTAAATACCTTTGAGGAGGCCAACTTACTCTGGCCCGTGCGGCGCGCAGCTGACTTGAGCGTGTGCGCACTGAGGTGGGTGACGTCACTTGGGCCCTTGCTGTTGATGGAGTACACGATGATGTCAAAGCCTAGTCCTGACGGTAGACCTGAGGCCAGGAACACACTCGCGTGGCTGGACACGTTACTGACCAACACCTGAGACTGAGAATCGTACACCTCCATGACGAACTCTTGAGGCAGACCACCGTTGAAGCCTTCATCACACTCCACATGCAGCGAATCTGCAGTCTGGTTCTGTATCGTGCAGTTCTCCAAAGGATCCGGCCTTCCTATAAACCACGGTTAGCGATGAGGTAATTAGTTGAAATCTGATTTTAATCTAGCACTAATTAAAGGACAAATTCTGTAAATGTTTTTCACGGGTTTAGACCTTGTTTCATCTGTAGAATGTGTTAGAATTTAACTCATAGATTATTGTGTGCTAAAATGATTGATCTAATACCCGTAAAGGGGAAAAACAGTGAGGATACAAGATATGTTACTGTTATCAATGGTAATTTTCCAACTTCTCTTGTCCTTAAAACTAAAGAACGTTTCTGGAGGTGGATCCTCCTATTTTCAAGTGAATTCCATATATCTTCATGATTAATGTAGTTTATGAATTTCACTTGAAAACGGGATGAGCTGATTTGTCTCCAGAAACGTTGCGTAGTTTTAAAACAATAAATTTAGAAAATGTAATTAGTAATAGTAACATTTTAGAACCAATATTACAATGAATATTTAAAACTCTGCTATATAAGATATTACAGGAAACCTAAATCGGCGAACAAGTCTATTTAAGGTAATTCGATTAGTCTTCATTCATTTCTACAGTATTAATATAAAACGTATGTATCAATTATACTCAAATATAATTTATTTTCTAACAATAATGCTTTATTCTGACATATTTAACAGCTGTTTGGTTGGTTGTATAACTTACCCGCCGGTATGATATGGAAGACACATGGATGCTGCTGAGAACCCAGCTCGTTCCTGCCCCAGCATAGCAGCGTGCCGTACTCCACCTCGGTCCTGGGCGTGTACGAGGCGATGCTGCGGGTCTTCTCTGAGGCGACGTGGCTGTGGGGCAAGTCCCACGTCTCTCCGCTGTTGTTGAACCTCCAGGTGAACGAGATGTCTGGAGGGTTGGCCTCTAGCTCGCACAACACTTTGGCCACCTCGTGCCGCGCCACCCCCACCACCGTCTGCTGGTTAGGCTTACAGACTGGCGCGACTGTAACATCGACCCCAACATATTGAAAAAATATTATACATATTATAAGAAAACATATTTCTATTTTAGTTTCATATTATATAACGCACATACGGTAATCTCCCATTATAATTGGGAAAAGTTTTTAACGATTTGTGAGTTATTTATCATAGTAAGTGATAAAAAAGTGCGATTAACAAGACAAATAAAAAAAAATAATTATTATTTTTCCCTCGATTTTTTAAGAAATAATAATTTATTTATATTAATGTTTCATTTTACTTTCTAATTAAACAAAATATATTTTTACACGATACGCATAAAGTACCAAAAGATTGTAAAATATAGTTTAAGAAATTTTAATAAAACATATGCATATAGTGTAGTGTATTTCGTTTTGCTCTACTAAGTATACCACATTTGTCAAACAAATGTAGAAAATACAGTATAAATATTTTCAAGAGAGAGCAAAAGAGACGAAATATGGCAAGCGGTGCAATGTATTCAGAGCGGGTAGAACAGTCTGTGTCACATAACGCGCATTGATCATGGCGTTGTGTCGAATGATCTCTCGTTGCAGACTGTGCTTTATGTTGGGAAATTATGTACTTTCATTATTGATTATATTACTAGTCTAGCAAGTAAATGTTGGGTATAAGTAAACAAGTTTATATTCAGTGAGTTTAATTATTCGTAGAAAACTAAGGAAGTGTGTAAACAAAATCCTAAATTTAAGAACAAACAACATTTTAAAGACATATTATGGTATAGTAGGAATGCCTTTGCCATAGCTGAAAATACTTAAATTATTTCACCGGCTTTCGGAGGGTCAATCTCTTAAAAGATCCTAACTACGTCTGTACCCTTAAACTCGAGAAAACACACACATTCTCTAATTTTGGCTTGAGTGAAAAATGTTCTACATAGCCATGACAAGTAAACAAACATATTATAACATTTCTCAACAATACCAACTGCTACTAAGACCTATAACAAGAGTTGACAAGATGAAGAGCTTACATTTGACGTCTAGAGGCACGGGGTTGCTCTCGCCATCGCCCTCCTGGTTGCTACCCACGCACGTGTACAGCCCGGCCCTCGCCCTGGACACGCTCTGCAGCACCAGACTCTGGTTCTGCACGATGGTTCCTGCACTGGCGTTGTTGACCAGGGTCACACCCTAGTAAACATCGCGTCGTAAACAAGCTACTCAACTGTGCGAATCCACCCGCATCATGCCTGAGCAGGAGTTCTACATACGACTATCACATTACTAAAGCGCACACAACAATCCTTAAAATTAAGTAAATACGATGTTATTATATATCATTTAATTCACAAAGAAAATTTACTGTTTGTAATATAATGTGATTGAATAGGTTTAAATGTCGAATAGGTAACAAATAATTAATTACATGGGTTGAAACAGTTTTATAGAACTTAATGGTCTTTTTAAGGTTATGACGTTTGATAAAATTGCCGTTCTAATAAGAATATTCAAGAAAAAAGTAAAATATTTTCATTTTTTCTTCATAATGAAATGAAGTCACGGAAAAATGCACTGGTAAATTTTATTAAAATATTTTTTAATCTCAAAATTGTATGATAGCATAATTCTTAGGAATTTGATATCTCATACTTTAGTTACTTTAGCTTAGGATACTTTAGTTTGTAAATCAATCAACCGTGTAAGGTCACTAAGTTGATACGAGGATACCTACATTGTGCCGCCAACTGACCCGGTAGACCCAAGGGTTTGACTTAATGTTACACTCAAAGTACACATCGACCCCTTCTCGTATTGTGCTAGCGTTCAAATTGCTTCCGAGCTCCAACGTCACCAAAGGCACATCTGCAACACACAACCTGTATCAGAATAAATATCTCGTATAGAAGTTATAGAGCTGCATTGCTACTCTGTACTTAGATATTTAACGTTTTAAGATAACCTGTTAGAACATAGTATAAGATTATAAACGTATACTTACGAAAGATGTTGAGGATCCAGGAGTCCTCCAGCTCACTGCCAGGTATAGTAGCAGAGGAGGCGCGACATACGAGGGTCTTGCCGGAGTCCTCCATGACAGGAGAAAATGTCAGGGTGGAGACTGTGATGTTGCCGTTACCTGTCGTCTGGAAACACAATTCAACTGTTTAAAAATCATTTGTCACAAGCATTTTTATATTTATCTGATCCAAACGGTTCATAAGGCCTAGGAAAATAAAAATGATGCATAATAATTAACGTTCTGTTAAAACGTCAGTTATATGAAGGATATAAAATGCTGTTCCCTGACTGGTGTTAAATTAACAAACAATCTATAAACATTCAAATATTTATTTTGGGATATTTAAGTTTAAGCATTCCCCTTATACTTACGAGTACATCGTTAAATACAAATTTAAAATATTTAAAGTAGTTTGTATGTATCTGGATATTTTACTTTTGTTTTCTATCTAGGCCTGTTACATAAGTTGACATAAAAGCCCAGTCATGATCTTGGACCACTTCTAATTAAGTCATTTTATTTTATTAAATAACATTGATTTAAAACGAAAATGTTCGATTTTGGTCAAGCATGTCGTGTAAGGTTTGCTCAAACGATTCTTGAAATACTATAGTTTTAGTACTAAACTAGTTTGTAAAGTAGCCTACATTAAAAACAAACTTAAATGGTACAAGTTTCAAATATTATTAACAAAATGGACGTTTTTTAAAATAGTGTTTAGATAACTGTATGGAAGCTGGATTTCGCAGGTGTCCCAAAGTTAAATAAATCACTCTAAACAAGAGCACTATGTTTTTGCGTAGCGCTAGGTGACAAAAGGTTATAAGTCAATAACGAAATTCAAAAACATACACCACTTTTAGTTGTTAAAATAAAGGAAAATAGTTGAAGTACTAAAATTTTTTCTCGACGAGAACTTAGAAATCTTAGGTAGTTTAACTAAATGTTGATATCTTTAGCCAATTAGTTGAACTGATGAAACCAACTAGTAAGGATATCAACGTACATTTTGATTTATACCGTAATCCCTGTTCATTGTCAAATCAAAAAGTGTATGGCAACCCTATCTTGTATATGTAATAAGAGGTCCTCCTCACCATCTCCCTGGTGTTCCTGAGCAGCGTACTACCCTTGTACCAAGTGATGGTAGGGGGAGGCCTGGCACCACCCACTTGACAGCTGATCTCGTAGGTTTGCTCTGAAGACAGCGGCCTGTTGTCACCAACCAGCTTCGCCCACAGCGGTCGCACTGAGATACGTCAAGTTGTTATTAGTTTATCACAGACTTCATTGTTTACACAATTTGAACAAATCGTAACAAAATCTTCTATAGATTTTAAGTGAATATGACATTTTACCAAAAAGACATTGGAAAATGTGTATTAGTTTATTTTGAATTTTTCACCGGTTAATTTATTTTATTGCAAAAACCACCATTGGTACTAAACAATGTTGAAAACTATTATATCACCAAAACCTTGTAACGGGTAGAAGGTAAACTGATATTATTGGGGTGGTGCACATTTTGTTAGATTTTTAAATTTCATAACGTTTAGATGGTTTAGGATAATGGGTAGTTAATCTATGAGTTGATAAAATAGTCGTATCAAAAGTGAAATGTGTCACAGCTCACATTAGTGAAAACAGCATAAGATACAAGAATATAAATTCTTAGATAAAATGTACAAAAAAAATGTAAAAAATACCAACAACAATCAACATTTAAATTACCAGATTTTATATGGATGTCTAAAGGGATGACACTAAATCTGAGCTGGTAAATGTATCAACGTAATTTATTAAACAAAGTAAATCAGGTATTATGGTGCTCATCTGAAGCTGCAGTCTATTTAGAAAATGATTTTTATTGTTAATAATGTCGTTTTTAGTTGCATAGTAATATCAGGTGCAAGTAGTTGAATCTTTTAATTATTTCTCAAATGTGCTTCGGTGAAAACCTTAAAACATTTTGTGTATGTTTGTTGCTAATACCTAGTAGATTTTTTTTTCGTTCCAGCTTTTGTAAGTGTGGATATTTTTCCCAAGAAACACATTTGAAAACTGTAAAACACTTTCAACACACTTAACTAATAAATTAACGAATAACTTAACTAATAACTTAACTACTAACTTGACTAATTTAATTACAAACATTTGTCAAGAGCGGCCTATAGCATGATTCTATTTTATTACTACTTAATTGACGTAACTAATGTACTATACCAGATTAATACCATCCTGCATTTTTTAATAATGTTTATATACAATTTAGCCTTAGCAAGTTTGTGAAATAAACTCCACGGTAAATTTTTGTTCGTAGGGCCAAACGATTTCTAAAGTCACTACAAGTTTTACTCTTATTTATGGAAGCGTAACATATTTTTATTCGACGATATTTTGTGGACAAACTGCTTTAACAACCAAGCATTTTATAAAAATGTTTAAAACACAACAAGAGGTCTTGTTACTGCAGTCGGTTTGTTTATTTACGAGCTCCAATACTGGACTGTAGCTTGTGTTTACAACTTTTTACAGTCCACACGGTAACAACATTTTGTTGTTATAACAGCAATATTTTTTGTTGGTAGGCCTATATTCATATTTTATTTTCATTTGGGTCTTTTAACTTACAAGTTTAAATTTTAGTTACGTTTTGTCAAAAATTAATTTGTGGCCAGCAAGGTAGAAGCGCTGTACAATATAACTAATGATTTTTTCAGATTTTGTAATTATTTTCGTCTTTAATTTCATGACAGGAACTTTTTTGATCCATGTAAATAGTTTTGGTAAATAGTTTAGCCAAAAATTTAACTGATGAACTACTAAGGAAAAGTCCAAACAGCGTATTCGGCGCAAATATTATATTCTATTGGATACTTAGACATCCCATCTATATGGACCAGCTGTAGCCATTTTTTTTAAGAACTTAGTTGTGTGAGCCAGTCACAGAATGCGCTAGAGACTAAAACTCTATTTTATACCTTATTTTTTGTTACTGGCCAAGTTGATGGGTCATAACAGTTGCTACAGCTCACAATAAGTAATTCCATCAGTTTGGATTGGTAAACAAAGATTGTGTATTCAACAGAAATCAGTAATTTAGATCAGCATAATCTGTCGGTGGCTCACATCAACTACGACGATTTTGGTAAAAAATCTGTTTACAAATTTAACATGGGGATGGAATGTCTAGTTGTATTAATATTCAAATATTCTATCAACAGTTATATTACTTCAACGATTGCCACGTTGTGTTAACAAATGCGGCAAACATCTGTAGCAGGTTGTTTATTATCTATAAGTAAGTTTGAACAACTGTTGCAATCAAGCTATAAGAGTGAGCAGAAACAGAGAATCATAGTGCAATAGTAGCACCACTCCATCCTACGGAGCAAACTCATGTGTTAGCTTTATTACAAGACTGGGAGGCAGTTTAAATGAGGAATGGTAGCAGTTTGTTCTGTCACCCTGCATAATACATAGCTGACTAAACTTGGTACAGTAGCCACGTCTGTGCGAGTCTCGGGTATTTAGCGAGGATTATGCGTCAATGTGCAATCGTGGAGTATTATAAAGAAGAGTACCTTTGAAACGTTGTCAAATATAAATTAGTAATTCACCAACTTTAAGTCATAACTGAACGATTCACTACACTACCATCTCAATGTACATATTAAAGTATTAAAGACATATTGAGGAAAAATATTGAATTAAAACCAGTTTATTAATATATTTTAATATACTTCAATATATTTAATACACTAGTTTCCCCTAATTGTATAGAAATGTACAACAATAGATTACAAAAACATCCTTGTATGATTATATGCAATTTCTAATGAATTCATAATACTGTTAAAATAAAAATGGAACAACCATTCACAATTGAAAGTGAAATTCCGTGGTTAATTCCTCCTTAAAACACATTTGATGACAAAATACATCGCTCGAGTTTTATTAATTAAATCTCTGAAGGCCTCCATGCAAATGACAGCGAGGTGCAAAAGAGTTATAAATGTCGCCAATGTTTTCAGCTTGATGGCCGCAACCTATGAAATATTTTCCACCAGCTTTTTACAAGCACCGACTGTGAGTGCATGACGCCCTGTAGTATGTACATTCGATACGCACTGTGCGTATTGGTCACACGCAAACATTTTTTACAGTTGTTGACTCATCCAAAAAACACGAAACTCGGAAGTACCATGTTTCCAAATGCATTAGTAAGTGCATACGAATTTCCTAATCCCCAACAGTCAATAAGCGAGTGACAAATATTTAGAGGATAATTATTTGTTTATTTTTATAGTATTAAACCGTATTTAAAACGATTATTATGTTTTAAATAATAGCCATGTTTTTGTCACATTTGACATTCAATGAGTATATTTTTTGTATTTTAAGTATTATAATTTGTAAAAATACGTCATAATTTACCAATTGAACTGGTATATTAAATCAATTGTTATTTTTGCCAGTTACAACATGGTCTATCCAATATTGAATGTACAAATTGAAAAAAATACATAGCAAATGTACCGTCAAAACTATACATCAAAAGGTATTAGGCCTATGAGAGAAATTAAAATAAAGCCACACTTTTAACAATATATAAAGAAATGACATATACAGGGTGGAACGAAGTTGGTGTTAAAAATGTTTATGTGTTAAACTACTAAGTTTTGGTGACTAAATGGCACCAATTTAGATTCCTATACCCTCACAGGTAGAAAATAACAGATAGATGAAGATTTATCCAAAATATTTGTATTTATTTAATATTTATTTGTATTCTGTACAAGCCGTTATTCTGTATGCGATATAAATTTTGAATTTGTGATTTTTGAGGAAAATGCAAAAACATTTACATAAGTTTTTACGTTAAACTGGACTATAGAAAGTGTAAATTGTTACTAAAACCCTTTTTTAGTTAATAACCTACCTTTTTAGTTAATAAATTGTAGTATTAAAAATGTTGTAATAGAGATCGATGCTTTTTACGCGTCATTACATTATCGTATGACTCCTAAAACGTAATCAATTTATAACCAACTTGTACAGCTTGTGAAGCAGTTTTTCGTGACACTATAAGATTCCTAATGTGTGTACTACGGTGTAAAAGATCGATATATATATATATCGATACGAAAGTTAAGCGATCTAAACTGTATAATTAATAAAGCAATTTTATTTGCCATTAAATAAGGATAAAATACAGCTTTAAACTATTGCAATATATTTGATTATGTTGACACGAAATACCTAGTTGGTCAATAATATTGTTTAGAATTTCGCAGTTCGATAATGAGGGGTGTAACTGTATGTTAAACGTGTGCCTGTAATGACTCAATAGTGATGATAATTACCTTGCCCGGGTTTTAATCAGTTTTAAGTACAAATGTGGCCCATGTAGTGAGGGCTCTCTTTGATGAATACATTACAACACGGCCTAGGGCGTACCGTAATCATCAGTATTAAACACCCGTAATGATCTACAATTGCGGCCTTTAACGTCCATTATTATCTCATAAAAATGCCTCTGACAATGATTATGCCCAAAATTGTTGATTATCATAAATTCCAGACAAGATCAATCATATTTGGTCTGCATTAATCATGTCATTACTTTTTCTTGGTTAAACAAAATAGTGCCATGCACAGTTAGAGACAAATGAGTTGTTTTATGATAGATAAGCAGAAAGATTGTGAGAAATAATATAGCCCCATTAGAGTTTTAAGGGAAGTTTAAAATATATGTAAAGATTCTAGATAAAAGAAAATTGTAAATTTCTTTGATATTTTGTAGCATTCACATCTTATTTTAGTTTTAGACAACTCTTTACAATAGAAAATTAACTTTACAACATTTAAGGTTTCATGATTATTGATTTTTCAGATAAATATATTAATAAATACTTCGTAGCTTAATTTATTTAGTTCAACATTTTATACTTTGTAGGCCCTACCAGTCCATAAACTGTCTGTATTCTTCTTTATAATATTTCCCGGAATTTCTCTAGAGGAAGGTTTTTTAGTTTAAGCTTTTTTCATCAAATCATCAGGAATGTTAGACGTATTTTGAGCAATTTAAAACACGTACAACAAGCTGAAAACACAAAGAAACGAACTAATGCCTGTTTCTGTGTGCATTTAGATTGTGCAACAATGAAAACATCTGATTAAAACCGTTAAAATAAACCATAACAAAACATTACCATGCGTAGTAATTAAATAAAGAACTAATCAAGATCGAGGGAAGGTGAATTTAGAGCGAGGTAAAATCAGCTGATCGTTTTTACCTCGCTTTAAATTAGAGCTTGGAAACAATTACTTTCTTTGATATCAGCTGTTATCGGAAATAGCTACTTTCGTTATGTAGTGAATACTATATTACGCGATGGAATTCAACCTTTTATCAAAACAAAAAAATCATCCGTCAAAATATGCAATGATATTGAGAAAATCAGTAATCTGAGGAACGAGACCTTTAAAGTTTCCATTTTATAAAAACTGATAATACAGTCAATATTTCTGTATAGACAGTTGGTAGCAAAATAATAAAGTTAGAAGTCTTTATTCATGTCAGCTTAAATAAACAAGCTTAAAATTAAATGAATCGTTGATCAGTGAGAGAGCAATGGTACAGTTATAGTCGGACATACCAGTCGGTTAATGACGTAGTAATTAAGTGAATACGTACAGTTGAGATCTAGAGTGATGGCATTAGATATTGGAGCCACCAGATTGTTATTGGAGGCCTGGCAGGTGAAGACCATGTGTAGATGTCTTCGCTCCACCTTCTCTAGACTCAGTATATTCTTGACTCTCCGTTCTGCCAGGACCTCGTACGAGTCGTCGAGCAACGCGTTCTCTTGCCACCACGTCACTCGTGGCACAGGACGACCTGAACATACAACACATTACACATACGTCCACAAATATGTGTGTACCGCATATTGTAAGAAGTCCATCTTGTTCCTTTGGATAGGAAAGTTATAATAATTGTGTTATGGTTTTAAGTAACATTTATTTGTAATTTCTCCTTATAAAAGGTACTAGATGTCTTATTTATGTATACCAGTATTAGCTTTCAAAGATGGTTTATACAAAAAAAAATAATAAAAACCAACACGTCACAAGAAAAATATAGCTTTAAATATTTAATATTCACACTTAAAACTAAGCTACAATACCCCATTATCAAAGAATGAAAGAATATAACTGTAGCTGTTCCTAAAACGTTTCCAATGTCTACTATAGTTTAACAACGCTAGACGCACCTCCTGTAGATATACAGGTGATGTCTATTGACGATCCTTCGTTGTAAGGCCCCAACATGTAGTCCGGAATGTGATCACCCTTCTCATCAAGTATTGTTACTTGATCTGGTGGAACTGGAAAACAACGTGTAAGTAAATTAGTTTTAATCTATTTAATGTCATTTCATCAAATTAATATACAACCTTTAAGGAACCTAATGATATGTACAAAGGTACGATAACATTTTCATCTTTGAAGATTTTATTTTTGATAGATAGCTTATGTGTTGAATACCAATAACGTCTGCACCTCTTATACAAAGCTGAATCCCATTGAATCGTTTAAAAGCGGGGTTGGATGGAATTATTATCAATTGATTATGTTATTAAATGTTATTAATAAAGGCATATACAGAAATGAGGTTGAGTTTTCAACCGTTTCCTATTCTTAAGAAATTCTAATGACTGTAAAACAAAACGTGTGTAATATTAATCTAAAACTGAATACTCATTTCTCATTTAAACGTACATTTTATTTTTTGGTCACAGCAAAATTAGTCAACGATATTTATTTTTACTTCACTTTCCCCGATACTCACTGATGACTGTAAGGTTGACCTGGGTGTTCCTGGTTGGTGACTTCTTAAAGTCGATGCGGCAGCGGTAGACACCCGCGTCGGACTCCTTCACACTCTCAAGGGTGAGCTTGGCTGGCGCGTCGTTGGTGCGGAAGAACGCTCTGCTGCCGAGGACGGTGTTCTCGGACCAATGGCGGGGACCCTCGGCCGACTTGCCGCGGACGTCGTAGCTGTACACAAGCATATAGGTGAGAGTATGTGGGTAGTTAATACAAATACGTGGTTGTATTATAGTTCACAAAACCTAAACAAATATAGCATATCCTGAAATGCAGTTTCCAAAGATGTTGTTTCTAAGGAGTGTATTTTTTATTGTGAGTTATAAGGATTATAATGAACAGTCAAAAAAATTAAGGTGCTCCAAATACGGTCTCTTGAGAACTGTCCATTTGTTAATTTTAAGGCTAACGTTGTTGACAATCGCACATGGTAGTACTGGTTGTAGGTTTTCTAGTTGCACTAGAAGTTACAGGAGTACATACATATCCACCATTTATAAGAAAAGTAAAGTTTTGCAGTTTTAGTTTACTGAATGCCAGAACTGATCTGCTGCTTCTTTATATAGAACTTCTATAGATGTGAAAAATAGTAAATCGTTGGCAGATAACACTGTATCTACTGGTAACTGTGTGTATAAACTCTATTGAACTTTATTAAACCTATAGGCCTACAGCTTCTTTAAAATAAATCTGTTAATCATACATCAAATCACGTAAGATTACCTGTAGATGGGGAGATCTATAGACTCCTTGTACCAGATGACTAGGTGGACCTTATCTCCCACGAGTGGAGGACTGAGGTCACAGGGTAGCTTGGCCACACCCCCGGCCACCGCCTCCGCTGAGGACATCGACACTGCAACATCAAGACATTATGTATGACATTATGTATATTATGTATGTATGACAATATGACATTATGTATCATATTGTATAACGTCATCATACAATAACAACATCAACAGTAGCAATCAGGCATGGACTGAGGTCACAGGGTAGCTTGGCCACACCCCCGGCCACCGCCTCCGCTGAGGACATCGACACTGCAACATCAAGACATTATGTATGACATTATGTATATTATGTATGTATGACAATATGACATTATGTATCATATTGTATAACGTCATCATACAATAACAACATCAACAGTAGCAATCAGGCATGGACTGAGGTCACAGGGTAGCTTGGCCACACCCCCGGCCACCGCCTCCGCTGAGGACATCGACACTGCAACATCAACACATAACATCATCATACAATAACAACATCAACAGTAGCAATCAGGCATGGACTGAGGTCACAGGGTAGCTTGGCCACACCCCCGGCCACCGCCTCCGCTGAGGACATCGACACTGCAACATCAACACATAACATCATCATACAATAACAACATCAACAGTAGCAATCAGGCATGGACTGAGGTCACAGGGTAGCTTGGCCACACCCCCGGCCACCGCCTCCGCTGAGGACATCGACACTGCAACATCAACACATAACATCATCGTACAATAACAACATCAACAGTAGCAATCAGGCATGGACTGAGGTCACAGGGTAGCTTGGCCACACCCCCGGCCACCGCCTCCGCTGAGGACATCGACACTGCAACATCAACACATAACATCATCATACAATAACAACATCAACAGTAGCAATCAGGCATGGACTGAGGTCACAGGGTAGCTTGGCCACACCCCCGGCCACCGCTTCCGCTGAGGACATCGACACTGCAACATCAACACATAACATCATCATACAATAACAACATCAACAGTAGCAATCAGGCATGGACTGAGGTCACAGGGTAGCTTGGCCACACCCCCGGCCACCGCCTCCGCTGAGGACATCGACACTGCAACATCAACACATAACATCATCGTACAATAACAACATCAACAGTAGCAATCAGGCATGGACTGAGGTCACAGGGTAGCTTGGCCACACCCCCGGCCACCGCCTCCGCTGAGGACATCGACACTGCAACATCAAGACATTATGTATGACATTATGTATATTATGTATGTATGACAATATGACATTATGTATCATATTGTATAACGTCATCATACAATAACAACATCAACAGTAGCAATCAGGCATGGACTGAGGTCACAGGGTAGCTTGGCCACACCCCCGGCCACCGCTTCCGCTGAGGACATCGACACTGCAACATCAACACATAACATCATCGTACAATAACAACATCAACAGTAGCAATCAGGCATGGACTGAGGTCACAGGGTAGCTTGGCCACACCCCCGGCCACCGCCTCCGCTGAGGACATCGACACTGCAACATCAAGACATTATGTATGACATTATGTATATTATGTATGTATGACAATATGACATTATGTATCATATTGTATAACGTCATCATACAATAACAACATCAACAGTAGCAATCAGGCATGGACTGAGGTCACAGGGTAGCTTGGCCACACCCCCGGCCACCGCTTCCGCTGAGGACATCGACACTGCAACATCAACACATAACATCATCATACAATAACAACATCAACAGTAGCAAACAGGCATGGACTGAGGTCACAGGGTAGCTTGGCCACACCCCCGGCCACCGCCTCCGCTGAGGACATCGACACTGCAACATCAACACATAACATCATCGTACAATAACAACATCAACAGTAGCAATCAGGCATGGACTGAGGTCACAGGGTAGCTTGGCCACACCCCCGGCCACCGCCTCCGCTGAGGACATCGACACTGCAACATCAAGACATTATGTATGACATTATGTATATTATGTATGTATGACAATATGACATTATGTATCATATTGTATAACGTCATCATACAATAACAACATCAACAGTAGCAATCAGGCATGGACTGAGGTCACAGGGTAGCTTGGCCACACCCCCGGCCACCGCTTCCGCTGAGGACATCGACACTGCAACATCAACACATAACATCATCATACAATAACAACATCAACAGTAGCAATCAGGCATGGACTGAGGTCACAGGGTAGCTTGGCCACACCCCCGGCCACCGCTTCCGCTGAGGACATCGACACTGCAACATCAACACATAACATCATCGTACAATAACAACATCAACAGTAGCAATCAGGCATGGACTGAGGTCACAGGGTAGCTTGGCCACACCCCCGGCCACCGCTTCCGCTGAGGACATCGACACTGTAACATCAAGACAAAACATCATCATACAATAACAACACTAACAGTAACAATCAGGAACTTGAACATGCGCAGCTTTCAGTGATGTTTGCGGTTTATAGACATAACAGTGAAAATGTTACATGACTTTTAGTGGAGGCAGTACCTCAAATACAACAACTCTCCTTTTTTCAGATACCTATCTTTCTATGTGTTGTATAGGTTTGTCCTACAGTTGAAGGGGGTCCACAAGAATGTAGCTCAAGGCCAATCTCGGGGTTAACACCTGGTACTCCTGCACAGATATCTCCGTGCTCTAACCACTATACCAATTAATGTGTTATTTAATCACTTTTGTAACAGAAATAAAAATTGTCTTTGATGTAATGTTTATACCGTGATTACATTTAGTCAGTCTTTGATGTAATGTTTATACCGTGATTACATTTAGTCACTAAAGAATAGCTAAGTTACTTCGTATTTTTATTATTGTTAACGTTAGAGTGAACTTTGTATCAATAACGTGTAAAACAAATTTAGTAAATAAAAAAATAATAATAATGTACTTGGATAGAACCTAATCACATATAAAAAGTCCGATCTTGTTAAATATAAATATATATATATAAGTTAACCAGTTCAGTGATTTCAAATCCCTAAAATTCGATTATCAATGTAAAAGTAAAATACTCGTTATTTAAAATATTTATTATTATATAACATTATAAAACTAGATCAGTTCTCAGTTTTATAATCATAATCACCTCGACAAAAGAACACCAAGACATACAATAAAAAATTCAAAACAATAAAACTCATCATCACGGAAAGTGGCAACATTTGTCAGGACATAAATATAAGGGAGATCCAGTAAAATGGCGACGTACAAATCTGCACTCCGGGCGGCGACACAAAGGACTGATTCAGTTAATCATTCCGGATTAGAGACTCGGAAGTGAGCGCACTTTGCTGAAAGCGTTTTATTTTCAGGATTCAATACAGAACGGACTGTCCTGGTGCTGTTCATATGTCCCCTCAGCTGCTCACTGTGGTTTCATTTATTTCGTATTTATTTCATCCGAAGCGTAATCCAATTTCATGGTTAGAGAAATACATTTTGGATGTTTTTCCAAAAAATAACAACGTCGATATTACAAATTTGTTTTACTCAAATCTAATGGAAATATTAAACTTATTCTCGGTAAAACACGGTTTTATGTTTACAACATTTTATTTGGGGTTCCTGAATCGCTACCTCTACAAACAATACAGTTATGAAAATTAAAGTTTTTATGTATGAAGGAACTTATTTTTAGTAAATAGTTAAAGGTATGTTGTGAAATTCACTACTTGCCAATACTTTGAAGACCGTTATAAATACAACAAAATATAGATGTTTGATTAAACCAGATTACAGATATATTTAGCCACTTTTATAGTCAAGGAATAAAATGTGTGATGGTCTAACTAGCCACTTAAAGTCATCGTTCGTTTATTTTATGTGATTATTTATGTAACTGGTGTGTAGCTTTGGGCTACACAGTTTTACTTTAGTAGAAGATATTCTATTGATATTGCTACTCCTTTGTGCTCAGGAATTCACAAAAGAGGGTCACCAGTCGCCCGAGAGCTTTTCTCTGAAAAAGTTCTACTTAGTTCTTCTCTTATGTTTGAAAATGTAATAAAATAGGAACCTACTGTTTCCTACCAAATGTACATAAAACTTATATTAGAAATTCCACATTTTTGACCTTTTTCTCCATAGTTATTTTTCCCACATACTTGAAGAATAATCAAATCTTGAATCTGTTATGAATAATTCAAACCCGGAGAGGTTTGACTATCGTTAATTTTTATAACACCAAAATGATTACGTGATATTGGGAAGGGCTAATCATGGTTAATTTACGATGAACAAAGTGTTTGATATGGTAATAGCTGGTCACAAAACTCATCACCCGACACTTTGTTGGGCCGCTGTAATTAAACAGAAGCTGTTAACATATTAAGTGGCGATGTTTTTGTGTGTCTTTTTCCCACTTCCTGCCAACAAAACCTAAAGTATACGCAATGGTAATAATTGTGGAAATTACAAAACAGTTATTAACTATTGTATGCATACAAAAAATAGTTGAATGTATATTTGATATTATTAAAAGTACAGCAGTGAATTAAGTAGATTGTTATTGTCAGCAAACAGACCTTAGTCTACCGAAGTGAATTATCACAAATTCCAACACAATGAATGATGGTTTATGAATGACTTTCTGCTGCAGCTACAAGGAGCAATTAAATTCAATAATACAGAGGAAAGGGAGTCATTAAGTGACGTTTGAACAGTCCAGTGAAGCGTTACATTGCTGTCCGGTGGCACGGAACACCGCAACAAACGTTCTCACGGTCCGACACCACACATAACAAACATACCTGTAATCACGCACACTAACACAAGTAGTGACGTAGTGGTGGCACGTGACGGCTGAAATCAGTCTAGCTTGGGAAAATTAACGATAATTCCGTTTTATTTATTGTAAATACGTAACAAACCAAATTCAATCGATAACAAACAAAACTATTTTTTTATATTGACACAACAATAATAAAAATAAAACTTACAGTTAAGCTAGGCAAGTAAAAATTTGTCCTCTACCTGTTTTAGGTTACTACTTATTTCAAATTGAAATGGGGAAGCAACTAGACGTTTTTATGAG